CTGGTGAACTGGTCTGACTTTAAAGTTAATCTGGGCGGGAACTTTGCTCTGTCCTGCCGTGCCCTCTTTATGTTTTTCGATAAAACCACGGCGCAAAGTAAACGTTGATATTGCTCTGAACTCGGTGCCCTGCTTGCATCATCAGGGGGAAAAAATGCAGAGTTTGCTCCTTTAACTGGATTTTGAGTGAGTAACTTTGCAGTGGTGTGCCTTATTACAAAGTCTGGAGTAAGCATGCAGATGTGCTAATTCTCCAGATGGGCTAATTTTAGGACCCAGGATTCTTAGTAATGGCCTTGCTTGCTGGGGAATTCTGGGAATTCCATACATTTGGCGGATTGATTGATTCCTTCCTTCCTTCCTCCCTCCCTCCCTCTCTCCCTCCTTTCTTCCTTCCTTTCCTTCCTCGCTTCTTCCTTCCTTCTTCTCTCCCTCCCTTCCTTTCTTCCTCCCTTCCTTCTTTTCATCCTTTCTTTCTTTCTCTCTTTCTCTTTCCTTCCATCTTCCCTCCCTCCGTCCTTCCTTTCCTCCCTCACTCCTTCCTTCCTTCCTTCTTTTCATCCTTTGTTCATTCTTTCTTTCCTTCCTCCCTTCTTTTCCTCCTTCCTCCCTCCCTCCCTCTTTCCTTCCTCCCTTCCTTCTTTTCATCCTTTGTTCATTCTTTCTTTCCTTCCTCCCTCCCTCCTCCCTCTCTTCCTTCTTTTCATCCTCCCTCCCTTCTTTCTTTCCTTCCTTCCTCCCTCCTTCCTTCCTTTCCTCCCTTGCTCCTTCCTTCCTTCTTTTCCTCCCTCCCTCCTTCCTTCTTCCCTCCCTCCCTCCGTCCTTCCCTTCCCACCATTTGTGACCTTCCCAACTGGCTTCTGATGAGCAAAGTCAATGGGGAAGTTGGGTTGGCTTAACAACTACATTATTCATTGACAATTGCAGCGATTCGCTTAGTAACTGGAGAAAAAAAGGGTTGTATAACTGGACATGACTTACTTAACAACCGCTTTGCTTATCAACAAAATTCTGGTTCCAATTGTAATTGTAAGTCAAGGGCAACCTGTAATACACACCTTCCCCCAGGGTGGATAAAAATCAATGAGTTTTTTAAAAAAATAAAAAAAAATCAGATTTTTTTTTATTTAAATCGGATTTATTTTAATTTAAATCGGATTTTTTGATTTTTATCGAATTTATTTTAATAAAAAACTTTTGGGGTAAAAATCTATCGTAAGATAGTTTTCTATTTAAGATACATAAATAATTTAGTTTATTCAGCATGAAATGGAGCTTAGTTATGTAGCATGAGGCTGTATATTCTGCAACACTGGGACTATCGGTGAGTCAACAGTGGGTCAAAGGAGTAGCAGAGATGACAGTTGCTCTTTAAAAATTATGATTTAAATCGAGTTGATTTAAATCAAGCCTTTTTACTAGTGATTTAAATCATGATTTAAATTGTGATTTAAATCAACTCGATTTAAATCAAATCCACCCTGCCTTCCCCAGCTATATCTTTGCAGCGGATGCTTCTTCGACGCAGAGCAAAGCCCAGCCTGTATTTATTTATTTGTCTTTCCGCGTCTTTTTATTTCCCCGTTCTTCAATCATCCTTGCAAGAACGCTTGGTCTGTCTGCACCGCTGCCGTTTTCTTCTTGGTCTTGGCCTGCGAACGTCACTCTGTTTTTAGGACTAGAACTGCCGAGCGTGGAATTTTCTAAATGAAGGCGGTGAGGTCAGTCAGGCCCCCGGGGAAACACACACAAGAATTCTCGTAGGTGTGTCACGAGGAAGAAGATTCGGCAGGATTGTTGCGGTCTTGTTTGCATTTTATGTAATTCCCTGCTCTGTCCCCAGTTATGTAAGCGAAATGCTTTCAGGGGGAAGAAAGACCCACAAAACACACACACACACACACACACACACACCCGCTTCTTGCAGCTTGGGAGGCAACAGCGGGAAAATCAATGATCAGAGCAGCCAGGATTTGAAATTCAAATATAGATTTAAGCAAATTAACTGCCTGGAGGAACTGGACTCACGAGGCTCAAACGGACCTCGGTGCAAAGAAAATTAAATTTGATCTTTTTTTCAGCCTCTTGTCTGTAGAGATCCTCAGTCATCCAGGTCATGGTTGTCCCAAAAGTGTTTTTTTTTCTTTTTTCAAAAGGCAACTGGACTTTCTGTTTTTTTGTCTTTTTGAAGACGTTTCGCTTCTCATCCAAGAAGCTTCTTCAGGTCTGACTGAATTGTTTTTCACCCTCGTGCCCAAGGAGGTACAGAACAGCAGCTGCAGAATTGGATTCCTCTGCAAAGTTTTTGTTTTTTTTTTAAATTTGATTTATATGCCGCCCTTCTCCGGGAACTCAGGGCGGCTTACAGTGCGTTAAGCAATAGCCTTCATACTTTTGTATATTTATACAAAGTCAGCTTATTGCCCCCACAAACTGGGTCCTCATTTCACCTACCTTAGAAAGGATGGAAGGCTGAGTCAACCTTGAGCCTGGTGGGATTCGAACTTACAGTAATTGCAGACAGCTGGTGTTAATCACAATGCTATCATTCTGCTGAGCCACCAGGCCCAAAAGTGATTCTTTTACTTTCTACCTGGCCCATTTTTTTTCTCTTCGAACTGTGTATTGGCAGCAGATTAGTGGTGGGTTGCTCCCGGTTCGGCCCGGTTCGGCCGAACCGGTAGTGGTGACGATGTGACGTCACTGAACCGGTTCTCTGTGACTGGGAGCTGGGCCCTTCCGCCTGCCCCCGCTTTATTCCTACCTTTATTTCTTGGTTTTTAGCCCAGCTGATAGGCGCGGCAGAGTAGATTGCCGCACCTCAGCTGGGCAGAAATCTAACACGCTTGTACACAGCACAAGTGTGGCACGCGTGTGAGCGAAGCGTGCATGCGTGCGACAATCATGTGCAAAGCGTGTGCATGAAGAGAAACGATGGTAACACTGGTTGGAACCCACCACTGCAGCAGAGGTGGGTTTCACGTAATTTTACCTTCGGTTCGTCACGCACCGAAAATGCTCGTGTGTGCAGCTTGCACACATGCACACGGCTTAGAAAACGTGGCTAGGATGACATAGTGCCAGGGAGGATGGGCAGGCCTACCCCCACTGGCAGGTTGCCACTACCAGTTCGGCAGAATCGGTCCGAACCGGCTGAATTCCACCTCTGATTTGCAGGCTCAGAAATAGTATCCGATGACATACCTTCCAACAGTTGGTAAAAAAAGAATGGTTGATAGTACACGAATTGGATAAAATTGTTAAGACGTGCGTGAACTTTTGCAGCTTTTTACCGGAGGGAAGAAAACTGAGGGCAGCTAGTCCTCAATTTACAGTAGTTCACTTAGTGACCGTTCGAAGTTACAACGACACTGGAAAAAGGTACTTAACGACCGTTTTTCTTAGGACCGTTGCAACATCCCCATGGTCACACATGATCAAAATGCTTGGCAACTGACTCACATTTATTATTATTATTATTATTATTATTATTATTATTATTATTATTATTATTATTTAAATTTCTATACCGCCCTTCTCCAGAATAGGACTCAGGGCAGTGAACAGCCAGAGTAAAAAACAATACATACAAAATTTAAAAACAATTTAAAATAATTAAATATTATTGGCCGTAAATTAAAATAACCCAATTTAAAATCAATTTAAAATTAACTCAAGCCAGCCCCGCTAGTTGGAATAAATGAGTTTTCAGGGCCCGACGAAAAATCCGGAGGTCTGTTATTGTATGTATCTCTGGGGGGGAGGTTGTTCCAGAGGGTGGGCGCCGCCACAGAGAAGGCTCTCCCCCTGGGAGTCGTCAGCCGACATTGTCTGGCGGACGGCACCCTGAGGAGGCCCACTCTGTGCGAGCGTACTGGCCGGTGGGAGGCTATTGGTGGCAGAAGGCGGTCTCGTAAGTACCCCGGCCCTAAGCCATGGAGCGCTTTAAAGGTGGTCACCAACACCTTGAAGCGCACCCGGAAGACCACCGGAAGCCAGTGCAGCTCGCACAGGAGAGGTGTTACATGGGAGCGCCTCGTCGCCCCCATAATCCCCCGCGCGGCCGCGTTCTGGACCAGCTGGAGCCTCCGGGTGCACCCCAGGGGGAGCCCCATGTAGAGAGCGTTGCAGTAGTCCAGGCGGGAAGTGACGAGTGCCTGAGTGACTGTGTGTAGGGAGTCCCGATCTAGAAAGGGGCATAACTGGCGTATCAGGCGGACCTGATAAAAAGCTCCCCTGGCCACGGCCGTCAAATGATCTTCTAACGACAGCCGTGCATCCAGGAGGATGGCTCACACTTATGACAGTTGCAGTGTCCCAGGGTTACGTGATCCCGTTTTGCGACCTTCTGTTACGAGCCCTCTCCGTGGGGGCGAGTGATTCGCCCCCAATAGCCAGCGATGGCGTCAGCTGGCTATATCGGGACGCCAGAAGCCACAGCCACTCGGTCTTGGAGGGGTTGAGTCGGAGCCTGTTTCTCCCCATCCAGGCCCGCACGGCCTCCAGGCACTGGGACATCACTTCAAGGGCATTGTTGGGGTGGCCTGGGGTGGAGATGTACATTTATGACGGTTGCAGCGTCCCCGGGATCACGGGATCCCCCCTTTGGCCATCTTCTGATCAGCAAAATCAAGGGGAGGGGGAGCCAGATTCACTTAACGACCAGGTTACTAACTTAAATGCAATGATTCGCTTAACAACGGTGGCAAGAAAAGTCGTAAAATGGGGCACCACTCACTTAACAAATATTTCACTTAGCAACATAAATTTTGGGCTCGATTGTGGTCGTAACTCGAGGACTGCTTGTGCAGGGACCGTTTTCCACACTTGGGACCGTTGTAACATTCCCATGGTCATGGGATCAAAATTCGGATACTACCATTACGGCTGTATCTCAAGGACTGACTTATATTAATGTCACATTTCAACCGTGAGCTACACACATTCTCCTTTATTGATAACATTATTTTTTTTCCCCCTCTTCCTTTTCCTTTTCTCAGGATTCTTACAGGAAGCAAGTGGTCATTGATGGCGAAACCTGCCTCTTGGATATTCTGGACACAGCTGGCCAAGAAGAATACAGTGCAATGCGCGACCAGTATATGAGAACGGGCGAGGGGTTTTTGTGTGTCTTCGCCATAAACAACACCAAATCGTTTGAAGATATCCATCATTACAGGTAAGCCCGATTGCATTTATGCGTGATATTTGGTCCCTCTCTGGCTCTGCAGGAAAAATACAGAATAATAGAGAGTTGGAAGGGACCTTGGAGGTCTTCTAGTCCAACCCTCTGCTCAAGCAGGATGCTCTATATCAGGGGTGTCAAACCAGTGGTGAAATCCAATATTTTTTTTACTACCGGTTCTGTGGGCGTGGCTTGGCTCAGGGCCAGGTTATCTTTGAGACCGCCTTCTACCGCATAGCTCCCAGCGATCGGTAAGATCCCACAGAGTTGGTCTCCTCTGGGTCCCGTCAGCTAAACAATGCCGGCTGGCGGGCCCGCAGGGGAGGGCCTTCTCTGTGGCTGCCCCAGCTCTTTGGAACCAGTTACCTCCTGAGGTCCGGACCACCCCCATCCTATTGGCCTTCCGAAAAGCGGTGAAGACCTGGCTTTTCCGGCAGGCCTGGGGCCGTTGATCTCGCTCTTGCGATCTGGCGAGATCCGGCCACGAATGGCGTGAATGAGTTTTTAATGTTTTTAATTTTTAAATGTTTTTTATAATGATTTTTTGAGTGTATTGTGAGCCTCCTGGGTCTTCAGAGAGGGGCGGCATATAAATTAAATAAATAAATGGTGTGGCTTGGTCGGCGTGGCAGGGGAAGGATACTGCAAAATCCCCATTCCCACCCCACTCCAGGGGAAGGATACCGCAAAATCTCCATTACCATCCCACTCTGGGGCCAGCCAGAGGTGGTATTTGCCAGTTCTCCGAACGTGTGCCATAGGTTCGCCATCACAATTCCAGACTAATCTATTTGCTACCTTTCTACTTGAAGGGAAAGTTTTTCCCCGCCTTTTAATATAAGATGTCTTCCAAAGTGACATTCCAGGTCTTTATACTGAAGTGGTACAATCCATTCTTTGGGCTCTAAGGATGGCTAATTAAAACATACAGGTAGTCCTCAATTTATGACCAAAATGGAGTCCAAAATCTCTGTTGACAAGCGAGATTGTCAACAGAGATTTTACGTGAATTTTGCCCCCATTTTACAAGATTTCTTGCCATAATTGTTAAGTGAATCTGGTTCCCATCTTGACTTTGTTCGTCAGAAGGTTATTAAAAGGGATCACATAACCTTAAGATGCTGCAACCATCATAAATATGAGTACAAATGTACTCTAGTAGTAAATGTCAAGTCAGCCAGTGAAAAAAATTGGGTGCCAATTAAATATGAAGAAACTCACAACAGAGAATCTGAAGGAGCAGGTGGGGGTCATTGTTCTAGAGAACATTTATCTTTGTGTTGTTGCTAAAAATTAACACTGAGTTGGCAGCACCTAATTAATCAAGCTAACAATAATAGGCACAGCAACCAGCCTTCAAATGGATTAAGAAGATAACTGAAGTGGCAGGTGGCAATTGTCTGAGATCAGCTGTCAAGAGAAGAGAAATCAGTAGTCAATAAATACACTGCAGACTAGCATCATGCTGGAAAAGCTAGTAGGAGGACTACAAGCAACAAAGTGAATGGACTTGATTACAATGGTGATGGATGCACCATTGGAACTTCCATCTTGGGACAGAATAACAGAGTTGGAAGGGACCTTGGAGGTCTTCTAGTCCAGTCCCTTGCTCAAGCAGGAAATCCTATACCCGTGATGGCGAACTGATGGCATGTGTGCCACAGGTGGCACACGGAGCCATATTTGTGGGCACGCGAGAGCGTTGCCCTAGCTCAGCTCTAGCATGCATGCATGCACTGGCCAGCTGATTTTTGGGCCTTCTGGGGCCCCCGGGAAGTCTGGAAATGGGCCGTTTCCGGCCTCCGGAGGCCCTCCAGGGGATGGGGAAGGCCGTTTTCGCCCTCCCCAGGCTCCAAGAAAGCCTCTGGAGGCTGGGGAGGGCGAAAAATGGGCCTACCAGGCCCACTGTGCCATTGCGTGCCAAAAGTGGGGGGAGCGTGGGGGAGATTACGTACACATGCATGGGGAGTGGGGCGCATTGAATTATGGGTGTGGGCACGTGCGCACATGTGCTCCCCCCGCCTTTGGCACACAACGGCAAAAAGGTTAGCAATCACTGCCCTATAACCATTTCAGACAAATGGTTGTCCAATCCCTTCTTAAAAACTTCCAGTGTTGGAGCATTCACAACTTCTGGAGGCAAGTGGTTCCACTGATTAATTGTTCTGACTGTCAGGAAATTTCTCCTGGGTTCTAGGTTGCTTCTCTCCTTGATTAGTTTCCATCCATTGCTTCTTGCCCTGCCTTCAGGTGCTTTGGAGAATAGGTTGGCCCCCTCTTTGTGACCGTCCCCTCAGATATTGGAATGCTGCTTTCATGTCACAGATCATCCTGGAGAAGATCTATTTATGAAATGCTGGTTGGGGAATTGTGGGAGTTGAAATCCATGGATCTTAAAAGTTGCCAAAGTTGAGAAACACCGATCTGTAGGATCATTAAGCATTGATTGACACTGATTTGGTGGCAGTTCCAGAACACATAAGGAAAGTTGTGTTTGTGTTCCTTGATTTCTTCCTCACCAATTTTATAGCCGCAGCCTGAAGTAATGCAAAATTGATTCATTTTATATATTGCCACCTCACTTTGGCTGTGTGTGCAGCTCCCACACCTACCTACCTACTCACCTACGTCTGCCTGTCTGCCTGTCTGCCTGTCTTCTATCTTCTCTCTCTCATCTATCTCACCATCATCTATGTTTTTTGTCTATTATTGATCATCTATCTAGTTATCTCTCATCTATCTAACTTATCTGTCTCTCATCTCTCTCTCCATCATCTATGTTATCTATGTCATCTGTCTATTCTCTCTTTCATGTCTGTCTGTCTGTCTATCTATCATCTGCCTATCTATTGCTCTATCTGACCGTCCGTCCATCCATCCTTCCATAATTGCCTGTCAGTCTATCTATCATCTGTCTATCTATTACTCTGTTGCTCTATCTGACCGTCCATCCATCCATCCATCCATCCATCCATCCATCCATCCATCCATCCATAATTGTCTCTGTCTGTCTGTCTGTCTGTCTGTCTATCTATCTATCTATCTATCTATCTATCTATCTATCTATCTATCTATCTATCATCTATCTATCTATTGCTCTGTTGCTTTATATGTCCATCCATCCATTCATAATTGTTTCTGTCTGTCCATCCATCCATCCATCCATCCATCCATCCATCTATCTATCTATCTGTCAGCACTTCAAGCTGCATTTACTCTAGTGCTGACATAAGAAGGAGAAGCGGAGGCGTCTGGACAGGGACGTTTGACTTTTCACCTACTTATTTTCCCTGGAGATAATATCCCCTAGGAGATGGGATGGGAGGGGGGAAATTCCTTTGAGCTGGAGCAGTAGATTAGGGGTAGAGTGACTTGGAAGATGGCCAACGAGTGCAGGGGAGTGGGGAACGGAAAGGGAGGGTTTTGGGTCTGGAAGTCAGTGTTGGCTGCGATGAAGTCGGAATTAGAATGTCGTGCTAAATAAATGGGAGTTTTCTTCAAAGACTTTGTTTGAAATGCAATTTATTTGAGACGACCTTGAAACCTGACTATCTAGATCTATCTATCTATCTGTCTATCTATCTTATCTATCTACACGTGTTTTCTTTTTCTTCTCTCTCTCTGTAGAATCATCCCAACCAAGCAACTGCCTTAAATAACTAGGACAGTTGAGTCTAGAAACGGGGTATATTTGTGACTTGTGTTGCGGGAACATTACCAAGCTTTAAAGAATGGCTAAGTGATTGCTACTGACCCCTCTTTAATTGTTCTGTCAAATTGTTCTGTCAAAAGCCTCTTTCAAGTTTATTTTTATCTGGGCTCCAGAACTGAGAGTTCTTAGGATTCACGAGTTCTCTGGAAACCCATTCAGAGAGATAATGAGAAGGCGATATAATTGTCATTCTCTCACCAGCTCCGCTCATGTTGTTCCCCAATTATATGCTTGGAGTCCAAGGGAAATTACAGGCTTGGGAACATGTCAGGTTATTGTTGTGGGGTAAGTCAGAACGATTTGACTTGGTGGAAGCTGAGAGACTTATCTTGGAAGTCTCAGGAAGGCCTCAAAATCTTTGCATAGGCCCCCCAGAGAACTCAAAATGGCTTCTTTTGGGGGGTTTTTCCTCAACTTACAACAGTTCATTTAGTGACTATCGAATGTTACATCTGCACTGAAAAAAGTGGCTTATGACCGTTTTTCACACTTAACGGTCGTTAAGTGTGAAAAATGGTCATAAGCCACTTTTTTTCAGTACAGTTGTCAATGGGGGATTCTGGGAGTTTTCTGCTATTTTGAGTTGGGGAAATGCACAGAAAATGTAGCCTAAATCCCATAAGTTCACATAATTTGTATTTATAAAAAAGAAAAAGAGAAACCTTACTCCCCTTTCACAGAAGGCCCAAGAGAAAAAGGGAGAAAATTCTGCCTCTTTCTGACTTTGCATCATTCCCCAGATACTACAGCTTCTAGCCAGCCGCAAAATATTAATTTCTCCCCCTTTCCCCCCCAAAAGCAGTTACAGGCAACTTAAAGTTTCCTAGGTCATAATGCACGGAAACAAAGATCTTGAATAGGATAGAAGTTGGCTAGAATTCTATCTGTGTGGTTAGGCACACAAGAAGTTTTAATAAAAGGATAAATAATACCACACTCACGCTCAATGGATTAACAGGTTAACAGAGTTGGAAAGGATCTTGTAGATCATCTAGTCAAACCCTCTGCCCAAGCAGGAGACCCTACACCATTTCTGACAGATGGCGGTCCAGTCTCTTCTTGAAAGCCTCCAGTGATGAAGCTCCCACAACTTCCGAAGGCAACTTCTGTTCCATGGGTTGATTGTTCTCACTGTCAGAAAATTTCTCATTACTTTTCTAGGTTGAATCTCTCCTTATTCAGTTTCCATCTATTATTCCTTGTCTGGCCTTCAGGTGCTTTAGAAAATAGCTTGACCCCTTCTTCTCTGTGGCAGCCCCTCAAATATTGGAAGACTGCTATCATGTCTCCCCTGGTCCTTCTCTTCACTAGACTAGCCATGCCCAGTTCCTGTAACTGTTCTTCATATGTTTTAGCCTCCAGTCCCCTAATCATCCTGGTTGCTCTATTAATATACATACACATTAGATAGAACTTAGTAGTCACTGTATTTTATCAGCTGTGAGAATTAGGTGTTGAGCAGAGTGTTGGCACAAGGGGAAAAAACTGTCCTTGTGTCTTCAGTTTTGTCGTTTATTCTTTTTTTGAAAAACACTTCTTCACTTCCTTCTATAGCAGTGATGGCTAACCTTTTCCGGACCGAGTGCCCAAATCACGCGGCCGAATCCCCCCTGCCCCAAATTCAATATGCACGTGGCCCCCGTACATGGACCCCCATGCATGCACAAGCAGCTCCCTTCATGTGCCCCGCCCCCTCGTGTATGCGCTCGTGGGCCCCCTGCACATGCCCTGCCCCTCGACATATGCGCACATGCCCCCCGAAGACCAGCTGGCTGGCGGGAGGTGTGCGCGCATGCACAGTGGAGCTGAATTGGGGCAGCGGCTCATGTGCCATCAGAGAGGGCGCTGCGTGCCACCTCTGGCATACTTATTATAGGTTCGCCATTACGGTTCTATAGTTTTCTTGTTACTATAAAAAAGAGAGACTTTTGCTTCTTCCTTCTTTTTCTTTCCTTTTTTTCCCCCTCAGGGAGCAAATCAAGCGAGTAAAGGATTCTGAAGACGTGCCCATGGTGCTAGTTGGCAACAAATGTGATTTGCCCTCCAGGACTGTAGACACCAAGCAGGCTCAGGATTTAGCAAGAAGTTACGGGATCCCTTTCATCGAAACCTCCGCAAAAACACGACAGGTAATGACGTCCAGGTGGCTGCGACGGGGTAAAAATCCAAGTCTTTTCCAGGTGGGAAGGGCAGAATTTCCTAGTAGCCAGAAAAGGCTTTCTCTCAGGTAGTTCAGAAACACTTTTTACCTTTGGATACTCAAAGGTAAGTCAATCAATGTTTGTGTTATCTGACCTTGAGAACCCAATTTTACCGCCTTCTTCCCCATGGTCATTAAGTCACATTGTTCTTAAATGAACCCAACTTTCTCCATTGACTTTGTTTGTGGGAAGGAACTGACAGCTCGTTTGATTTATGTCAACGTTGTGATTGACATTCATCAATGCAGTAGCACAGGGGTTTCCCACCTTGGCAATTTTCAAGTATATGGACGTCAACTCCCAGAATTCCACAGCCGGCATAGCTATTGCTGAGAATTCTGGGAGTCGAAGTCCATTCAACTTTATCAAGGTTGGAAAACAATGCAATAGCAGAAAGAATGGCCATTATCTGGCCAAGAGACACTGTCTATCCCCAATAATGCTAGTTATTAAAAAACCATGGAGGCAGAAACATAAAAGAGGTGACTGTTTTTTAGCTGGTTGTATAATTGAATTATCTTTTTTGTAAACTCTGAGATTACCTGTTCTTCACACAGGAATCTTTAATTTCTTCTAATGCAGGGTTTAATACCTATGGTTTCTTTATGACCTATGGACTTCAACTCCCAGAATTCCTAAGTCAGCCATGGCTGACTTGGCATGGTTGGCTCAGGAATTCTGGGAGTTGAAGTCCATAGGTCGTAAAGGGCCATAATTGCTCGTGCCTGTTTTACTGGGAGTTGAAGAAAAATCATCTAAGCATATTCAACTATAGAGTATCGGATCTGCCTTCAAGATTTGGCATGCGTTCTGTTTGACTATTGATTTGGGCAGTGTCTGAATCGGTCGAAGACAATCTTTGTTGAAAACTCAAGAACAAGAGTTCAGGCTAACGTCTCAGAATTCTTCCACGCCTCTTAACCGCTTCATAATGTGATCTCTGGACAGAGTGAAGCCTCTCTCATCTCCAAGCCAATCTCAAAATCCAGATGCAGAATCCAGTGTGTGCATTGCTATTTGGGGGGCTCAAGATTACACCTTTAAAAAAAAAAAATCTATGGTTTAAACCAGCGTTTTTCAACCTTGACCATGTTTAAGACGAGTGTGCTTCAAACTTGGCAATAAGTGGACTTCAACTCCCAGAATCCCCTAGCCAGCATGGAAGACCAGGGAATGCTGAAAATTGAATTTCGTAGGTCTTAAAAAGTTGTCAAGTTTGAAAAACACTCAATTGAAAGGAACGAGCTGGGCTGAGATATTTTGACTTCTGTCCCACATGAGGATAGAACTTGCAAACCATAGATATTTTCCTGGTTTGTTTCTGTGGTGGAAAAAAGGATCTAAATTGAGCAAAGCCAAGATCTCGTGTTGTGTAGTGCCATCAACATGGATGGTTATGTGTGCAGAGAACAATCACAGGCTTCTCCCAAGGAACTTTTACCTCAGCTTACATTTCCTCGCGTGATCTAAATTGAAAATTTCAGACTGTAGTGTCAAAATCGGCCTGGAATATACAGGCAGACTTCGATTTACGACCACAATTCAGCCCAAAATTTATGTTGCCACATTGTGACAGTTGTCCAGTGAGTTTTGCCCCATTTTACAACCTTTCTCGCCAGAGTTGTTAAGTGAAGCAATGCAGTTTTTTTAAGTTAGCAGCACGGTTGTTAAGCGAATCTGGCTTCCCCATTGACTTTGCTGGTCAGAAGATGGCCAAAGGTGATCATGTGACCCCGGGACACTGCAACTGTCATAAGTGTGAGTCAGTTGCCAAGTGTCCAGAGTTTGACCACATGACTGTGGGAAAGCAGCAATGGTCATAAGTGCAAAAAAAAAAAAAGTCATAAGTCACTTTTTTGGTGCCGTTGTAAATTCGAACAAAAGAATGTAAGTCGAGGTCTACCTGCATATCTATATTTATTATCTTGATGTTCGTAAGAATGTTTTGAGTTTTTATGATTATCGTTCTTCCATCGTGGTGGTGAGGCTTGGTTTATTAAAAATTTGCTTCCTCTAAATGGGTGCCATGATTTTGGTGTTAGAATTATCCTGCTTTGATCTTCTAAAATTGATTTATTTTCTCTCCCGCTGCCTTTATAAGGTATTTAAATTCCTTCAGGCCCTTTAAAGAGCTGTACCAAATGTTTCTTTGATCAGATTCAAACAGAGCTTGGATTCCATTCCTGTTATGTATGGGTGAGATTGCTCACCTGGTTGACTAGTACAGGGGTTGGCAACCTTAAACACTCAAAGAGCCATTTGGACCCATTTCCCACAGAAAAGAAAACACCGGGAGCCACAAAACCCTTCCCGTGCCTGACTATTTCCTGAGTGGCCACAGAACTAGCATATGTAGTTGAATTAAACATTCTGTTTTCTTCTGAAACTTTTCTTTTCTTGGATTTATCCATGGTTGGCCTACCGGGGGTCGAAAAGCTCAGTAAATCGTGTGGTGGCGAGTATCACACATTGGCGGTTGTAATATTTTGAGCAACAGGGAGCCGCAGCAGAGGGAAGAAAGAGCCACATGCGGCTCCAGAGCCGCGGGTTGCTGATCCCTGGACTAGTATATGAAGGCAGGTGACCAGCTTTTCTGAACTTCGGACCTTCAAGATAACTTTTTAAAAAATCACATCCTTCTTAAGTACAGCTTGACTCCTTGTAGTTTTATGTCAGTGTTTCTATAAATCACTTGGCAGAAATACAGAAGTGGTTTTACCTGTCTGGATTTGGTCTCCCAACTCCCCAATCTAACCTTGAGATTTCTCAAATATCTCCCATCCAAGTCTTAACCAGGTCTGACTCTGCTTAGCTTTGGGGGGTTCAGCTATGAACAGCTACACAATACCATCTGATCTAGTATCCTGCATCCATTAATATCTCTTTAAGCTTTAGCTGGCTTTTATTAGTAATGTACAAATATTCCGTTGAAAGAAATCTTTCGAGACAGGAAAGTCATGTCAAGTGAGGAATGACTTCTAAGAACATTTTTCTCTGACTTTCTAGCATTTTGAAATATTCTTAGCAGGCGGTAAAGGCCCTAAAACATACGATTTAGAAGCAAGATTGCTAACACTATTCATGAATTGGGATCATCCCACAATGCACAGCTTTTCTAGGCTGATCGCTCTCTTCACTCTGCCTCTGCCAGTCCTTCTCCCTCTGTTGTGGAGTGTATTGGAGTGGGGTCCTTTCTGGGAAATAGTTTTCAAGGGGATAGGTAGGTATCAAAACTCGGTTGCAGTAAAAGCAAGAAACAATCATGGTGCTTTTGCATACAATTTATGACAGACTTGGTGGTTTTTGAGGAGGAAGAAGAAGGCATCATGGAGGAAGAGATTATTATTATTATTATTTATTAATCAAACTTCTATACCTCCCTACTCCCGAAGGACTCAGGGCGGTGAACAGCCAAGATAAAATACAGATAATACAAATATTAAAAATCCCTTAAAATTATTAAATATTTTGGCCGAAACACAGATTAAAACATCCAATTTATAAAATTACGAATTAAAAATTTAAAAGAGGAGAGTTAGGCCAGGCCAGCCTGCTGAAATAAAAAAGTTTTGAGAGCACGACGAAACGTGCGCAGGTCCGGGATCCTCCGTATCTCTGGGGGGAGCTCGTTCCAGATGGTAGGTGCCCCCACAGAGAAGGCTCTCCCCCGGGGGCCGCCAGTCGACACTGTTTGGCCGACGGCACCCTGAGGAGCCCCTCTCTATGGGAGCGTACTGGTCAGTGAAAGGCTATTGGTAGCAGAAGGCGGTCTCGTAAATACCCTGGTCCGATGCCATGGAGCGCTCTAAAGGTGGTAACCAAAACCTTGAAGCGCACCCGGAAGACCACCGGGAGCCAGTGCAGCTCGCGCAGGAGGGGGGTCACATGGGAGCGCCACGTCGCTCCCATAACCACCCGTGCGGCCGCATTCTGGACCAGCTGGAGCCTCCGGGTGCTCCTCAAGGGGAGCCCCATGTAGAGAGCATGAGTGACCGTATTTAACGAGTCCCGATCCAGAAAGGGACGCAACTGGTGAATCAGGCGGACCTGATAAAAGTCCCCCTGGCCACGGCCGTCATGTGCTCTTCTAAAGACAGCCGTGAGTCCAGGAGGACACCCAAGTTGCGAACCCTCTCCGTGGGGGCCAATGACTCACCCCCAATAGTCAGTGATGGCACCAACTGACTATATCGGGATGTCGGAAACCACAGCCACTCGGTCTTGGATGGGTTGAGCCTGAGAGAGATCCTTTGCTGCAGATTTTGAGGCGTGGAGATGATAGCTAGTTGTGAAAATAGAGCAGTGTTTCACAACCTTGGCAATTCTCAATTCTGGGAGTTGAAGTTCATACATCTTAAAAGTTGCCATGGTTAAGAAAGATCAACTGTAATCAGGGGTGGGCTTCAAAAATTTTAGCAAGGGGTTGTCTGCCCGGTTGCTGGGTGGGCGTGACCATGGTGGGCATGGCCCGGTCGGCCTCCTGCACCACGGTGGGGGGGGACGTTTTTGCCCTCCCCAGGCTCCGGAGGCTTTCCTCAAGCCTCCAGGAGGGCAAAAACAGCCTCCCCAGGCTCCAGAGGCCCTCTGGAGGCTGGAAACGAGCCCGTTTCCCAAACCTCCAGTAGGCCCATTTTTTCACCCTCCCTGAGTCTCCGCATGCGCCCTGCACTTAACTGCATCCAAAACAGGATGTGTGGGGACTCCTGGGCGGTGCGAGGTGGGCGGGGCAAGCCAGGAGTGGGATTTGGGGGTTCTCCGAACTGCATAGAATCTTAGCTAGAGGTTCTCTCAAACCCCTCAGCAGCCCACCGCTGACTGTAATCTTTCAGTTCAGTTCAGACAGACCAGGGGTGTGAAACTCAAGGCCCGGGGGTTGGATCTGGCCCACAGGGTGCTTAGATCCAGCCTGCGTGGCCGGCCTGAAAATAGCAAAGGACTGGCCCGTGGTGCTTCTGCTAGCGAAAATGGGCTGAGTGGGGGCTGCCCGTGGCTCCCTGTAGCCCGTTTTGGCTGGCAGGGTGCTGCAGGAGGGTGTCCATCTCGTCTCCTCCCCCCCCCCTCCGGCCAGCCCGCAGAGGACAGTTATAATGCTGATCCGGCCTTCCAAGAAATCCAATTTGACACCCCTGAGATAGACCTATCTGCTATCCTGGGCTTGTTCACATTGGGAGAAGATTCTGAGTTTGGAGCAGATGATGGAGCTAAGCAAAGAGGAAATGGTGGATTTTCTTAGGGAATGGGACCTCCCTGGAGATTGTTCTGAAATCATTGAGATCTCCTTAAATATGGAGCTTGATAGAGCTGTTGACGAGATGGTCTGTCAATCGAGATGACAGGTTACATTCGTCTAACTCAGGGATAGGCAACCTTAAACACTCAGAGTCACAAAGATCCTAAGTGAAAGCCCCCCATTCAATTCTGGAGCTGACCGGAAGTCCAGTTCCCTCACCACAGAGTCTCCTCCTAGCATGGTGTCCTTTTTTCTCTGCTGACCGGAAGTCCAGTTCCCCCACCACAGAGTCTCCTCCTAGCATGGTGTCCTTTTTTCTCTGCTGACCGGAAGTCCGGTTCTCCCACCACAGAGTCTCCTCCTAGCATAGCATCCTTTTTCCTCTTACCTGTCCTAACCAAAAGCCCTATCAATTGTGGCGCCGCAGCAGAGGGATGAAAGAGCCACATGCGGCTCCAGAGCTGCGGGTTGCTGACCCCTGGTCTAACTAGGCCGAGCAAGCCAGTTCAAAATTGGAGGGTGCAAATGAACCACTCCTAGAAAAATCCCAGAGGTGCTTTTTCAGGGAGCAACTGGACTTTTCTTGTTTTTCTTTGAAGACGTTTCGCTTCTCATCCAAGAAGCTTCTTCGGCTCAAAGAAAAACCAGAAAGTCTTGAAAAAGCACCTTTGGGACAAGTATGACCTGGATGACTGAGAATCTCTGTAGACACTCCTAGAAATGGGAAAGTAGAGTTAACAAGTTGTGTGAATCTAGCACCTTTATGCTAATTTATAGATATCATGCCAACTTAGAAAAAAGATTAATTCTGTAACCAAGTTAAAGCAAACTCAATTTTATTTTGTTTCATTTATTTATTCTGTTTCTATGGCTGCCCTTTCTCAGTCCACTACTATGGATGGCTTACAATTCAGGAAATACAACAAACATTTAAGAAAACATTTTAAAACCGTAAAACCAGTTTTTTTAAAAAAAACATTAAAAACATCCAATTCAACATATACAAGAACCAAGACATTTTGTAAATATCTTTGAATTGTAAAGCCAATCTCAAGTTAAACTGGATTCTATGGCTATAGGGCAGCTATAGAAACACCTGGATCTCACTCACAAAGTGTCATTAATAACAGCGCAGAAGTGATCTGCCATTTCTGTCTTCGGAAGAGATCCCAAGATTTAAAGAATTCTCGGCCTCAAAAACGTATTCTCAGCACCAGATCTTTCCCTCTAGAGAGTGTGACCTAGGCTTCCTGAGTCATTAAAACACAGGAGTAGTCCCAAAAACCTCTTTTATTGCAACAGCTGTGAATTACGTTCATTCACAGCTGAGTCCCAATTAGTTGCAAAAAGTCCTTCGGGAGAAGTCCTTCGGGATAATCACCAACCTTTATCTCCCTTGACACACTGCCAAAGACCTACTTGGCAAAGCCATACCAAGTCCAGAATCAAACAGAGATGCTGACTGGGAACAGAATTAACAATGTTGCTTTCCTGCAAAGGGCCCACGTGCCTTTGCTCCTATTTTAAGCCTTATGGGAGGGGCCAATCATCTCCAGGCCTTATTCCCGAGTCGTCCCTTTTGTTTTAACTGTTTGTGCCTTCTGGCAGCTCTGCGCATGGCCGCACTAGGAACAGGCTCCTCCTGTTCCTCTGCCTCTCTGATGTCTGACTCTGGAGGCTCCGAAGTCCACGCATAACTTCCAGATGGCCCTGGTCCCATCTCTGCCTCCGACGCAAAGCTCTCGCCCGAGCCTTCCCCAGACTCCAGGACTGGCCCATGTTCCTCCCCAGCCTCCTCACTGTCCGACTCCGCCTCCAGCTCTGCAGGCTGCTGGCGGACCACAACAGGTGTTTTGTGGCTAGCTCCCGGCCTTTCAAATTTTAGCAGTGCCACTGCAAGAAGGATAGAATCACATATCATCACCATGTATTCTGCAGTGAGTGAGTTCTTGGAAGTCAGAATTTTTTGTTGTTTATGAGATTTGAGATATTTACACAGAGGCTCAGCTTGAGAAACGTGACTCTGGTTGACGTACACCCAAGATGGAGTCTTCGTGTAATGGGTGGCTCTTTAAAGGCCTTTTTCTAGCTCTTCTTCTTTCTCCTTGTGGTGGTGAAGGATTTTGCCCCAGTGGGCAGTTCTCCAATGATTGCTTGGCTTTGTCTCCACGGTGGTGGCCCTGTCAAGAAGGGATCTCGTTCTTGATTTGTCTGTACGGGTGAAAGAATGGCAGCTCCTGTTTTTTCAGGAATTAGGATGGAGGCAAAGAGCATCCCAGCTTCTCTAAATTGAGGGGGGCGCATGGACAACAGAATTAATCATGTCACCCATTTTTTATGGGAGGCTTAAAAAGGCTGTTATGATCGGGAATGCACGAGGCATTGTGATAGTGATCAAAGGGGCTCAATCAAGGTGACTTAGCCAGGACAATATTGATGGAAAATGTAGCTTGGTCATGGGACATCTACAGGAGCTTTGCTCACAGCCTTTTCAATGATCTTCTGAGGTGTTCTTCAGACGATATCAAGAGGAGAAATAAATTTCTATGAACATTTTCCACTTTCTCTAAAGCGATGAGGAGGAAGGTATATTCTGGAGCCCTAAATGTTAAGGTGAAGCTGAGCCAGATTAAGTAGATCTTCACCCAGAATATTCAGTATGGACCAGAGACCCTTGTCTAATGATTGGATGCTGAAATGGCTCCCAAAGGGTTCAAGACCACTTGATTTAGCTCCTAAATCAAATTGTCACTTTTTTTTAGACACTGGATATAGTCAAATGAATTAAATCTGCTTGGATCCTCTTCATTCATTCGTCCTTGAAAGAGCAACACTGCTGAAACCATATACCATGTTTAACAAACCATTCTAAATCCACTCCAAACACCCACAAAATTAATCACGCAATGGCTTACCATGAGAGACTAATCTAAAATCTCTGTAGTTTATGAAGATTCTCAGTCATCCAGGTCATAGCTGTCCCAAAAGTGCTTTTTCAAAAGACAGCTAGACTTTCTTTTTCCCTGTTGAAGACATTTCACTTCTCATCCAAGAAGCTTCTTTAGTTCAGACTGAATGTCTCACTACATTGCACCGTATATATCACATTGCTCAGGTTGTGTCTGGGTGTTTTGTCCGATGGGCAAGCTTCTGCCTTGTGTATTCTTGGGTTTAAAGTGTGCATGTATGCAGGACAACGCAGTGAGACATGTGCAGATCTGTACAATGGAGAAACAAAACAACCGTTTCACAAATGCCTGGCACAACAAAGGAGAACAAACCCATCAGTACAAGATTCAGCAGTCCCATCTGCATTTGAAAGACGAGACAATGGTCACTCTTTTGAAGACAACAAATTCCACATTCTGGACCGCTGGTTTGAAAGAGGGATCAAAGAGGCCATCTACATTAAAATTAAAAGGGGAAGGGATACGATACCACTTATCTCCTTTTTACACAATCCTTTCAGCAGTTCCAAGAACGTTCCACACCCATTTGCACTATTCAGGGGACCCTCCGGACACAGATGAACCTCCAAGTGGCCCCCAGCGGCTCTCAGAGAGAGGGCTAACGACCAGATGACTGCAAGGAATATAAACCCATTCATTCTCCACCATTCAGTCAGAACGGAAGAAGCTTCATGGATGAGAAGCGAAACGTCTTCAAGGAAAAACGAAGTCCAGTTGTCTTTTGAAAAAGCGCCTTTGGGACTAAAACCTTGCAAGAAACTGATGTTCTCTAGATGTATTGTGGACCCAGCATATCTCGAGGATTGCAACGTATGGAAGGTTGCTTTCTTTGAACGTTGATCCCTTTTGCCATCAGCCATGGTGAATGCAGGATGGTACCCCAAGATTTCCACCAGGAAAGGCTAGAGACCTCTCTCTCCCTTAACTTTTCTCCAAAGCTCGGTAGCCACTTCCTCCTGGCTCCTGGGCAAGACCCTGCTTTATCACCTGCTTAAACGAAAGCCGACTCTAAAGGAGTTGTGTCTTGCAACCACAGAGAGTGGAAGATGCTTTCTATACCTTGGTGCGGGAGATTCAACAGCACCGATTGACAAAAGTCTGCACCGAAGAAAAGACACCTGGGTGCGTGAAAATTAAAAAATGCCTTTTAATGTAACCGGGTAAGTTTCATTTTTGTTTAAGCGAGGGGGCGGGGGGGAACAAAAATCTTAAAAGCATTCGACAAGAGGAAAAAAATGTGATCAACCAATAATGAATCAAATCCAACTTTTCTCTGATGATTCCTCTTAATTTCCAAATGATTGTAAGTTAGCAGCTGATTGAATTCTGTTCTAATTTTTGCTACGTGGAGCTTTTTGGTTCTCTCCGATGGTGCCAGGCTGAGTCTCTCATTGCCTACTCCAAAATGATCTGGGGATGTTAGCAGGGGTGAAATCCAGCAGGTTCTGACAGGTTCTGGAGAACCGGTAGCAGAAATTTTGAGTAGTTCGGAGAACTGGCAAATACCACCTCTGGCTGGCCCCAGAGTGGGGTGGGAATGGGGATTTTGCAGTATCCTTCCCCTGGAGTGGGGAGGGAATGGAGATTTTGCAATATCCTCCTGCCATGCTCACCAAGCCACACTCACAGAAACCGGCAGTAAAAAAATTTAGATTTCACCACTGGATGTTAGTCCAACAAACTTGAAGGAACTTAATGGTGTACAATGATGTGCTGAACGTAAGTTGAGGACTGTTTCTTCCAGAGACCCCTGCGCTGTATTCTAAGTGACCGAAACAACAATTGTTGGGAAAATATAGATGAAAGCCTACATGGCCAGTATCTATAGGGCAGTATTGGGCTTCAGATTCTAGTCGCCACCATCTAAAGAAAAAGTTTCCTAACATTTCACCAGCAACTGTGGTTGCCATCTTCAGAGACCAAGTAGCCTGCTCTGCAGATCGGATTCTGTTTTATGATCAGCTGTTTTGACTTCTGATTGATCTTCAGCCAAGCGGCTTTCCAATTGGTGCGTGTTGGTGAGGGCTGATCCCTGATTGGGGTTCGATCCTGATTGGTTATCTTGGTGATGTTGGTTCCTGATTGGTTCTTTGTTCATGGTTTAAGATAGGTCATTTTTGTAGAACTGCTCATATAATTTCGATGTGTGTATGTATGCAAGTGTAAATAGAAATAGATATAGATATAAATATAGGCATCATTTTAGTTATTGTCTATCCACTCCAGGATGAAGCCTCTTCCGCATGTTTCCAATTTATACAGTTCTAAGCTTTCTTTTACCAATTGGGCCTGCTATCTATCTATCTATCTATCTTCCTATCTCTATCTATCTATCTATCTATCCTATCTATCCATCCATCCATCCATCCATCCATCCATCCATCCATCCATCCATCTATCTATCTATCTATCTACCTACCTACCTGCCTACCTATCTATCTCTATTATTTAAAAAACTGCAAGATTGAATAAAATTAAAACTGAAAAAGAAGAAAAGGAGAAAAAAAAGAGAAAAAGCTAAAAGTGCAGAAAGAAAATAGAAGAGATATAAGGAAAGATATAAGGTGATTTCCAATCTTCTTTACAGCAGTTAAAAATACAATTATAAATCAGCTTTTCTAAAGTTACATCATGACTACTCTTCTTTCTACTGTATAATCTATCCTGTCTAATAATCAAAACCGTAAATCATTTTTTTTTTAAATTGCAAAAAGTCCATGCAAGGTTTCCTGTCACCAATCAATGTCGATAATTGTCTTTTCTCTAATAAAGCATTTTTGCAGTGCTGATTCCTTATTCCTAATTGGTCCGTTGCTTGGCTGGGTTCTGATTGGTTGCTTTGAGCAAATGAGTCCTGATTGGATCCTTGTCCAGGCAGATTGGTCATAGAGTTAACTTTTTCATCACTGTTATAAATGCAAACAATCAGTGTGTGTAGATAGATTAGATAGATAGATAGATAGATAGATAGATAGATAGATAGATAGATAGATAGATAGAGATATATAGATATATATAGATATATATAGATATATATAGATATATAATCTTATATTTATATATATGATCTTCACAGGCCCTTGCTTTACATTTCACAAGATTTCAAGCCATTTCTATAATTACAAAAGCATTATAAAATGTCATCGAAACCTAAAATCAAAGTTTCACTTTATCCCCCCCCAGTTTCGAGCAAAAAGTCCAGAACCGGTTTCCAAATAGAAAGAAAGCTGGATAAATTAGGAGCCTGGATAAATAGGAGCCTGGATAGCTCAACAGACAGAGCACTGTAATTTAACACCAGCTGTCTGCAATTAAAGTAAGATCGAATCTCGCCAGGCTCAAGGTTGACTCAGCCTTCCATCCTTTCTAAGGTAGGTAAATTGAGGACCCAGTTTGTGGGGGCAATAAGCTGACTTTGTATAAATATACAAAAGTATGAAGGCTATTGCTTCACGCACTGTAAGCCGCCCTGAGTCTCCGGAGAAGGGTGGCATATAAATCAAATTTAAAAAAAAAATCCTTTAATTAAAATAGACAATTTTGCTATTTCTGCTAATTCCATTACTTCTTCCGTTGTGGGTTTCAGGGTGTCTTTCCATGTTTGTGAATATAAGAATCGCACTGCTGGATATTATCTAATTGAATAAAAGTTGGAACTATTGAGCAGTGGCTTATTCATTAAATGATGGGGTCTGTTGCTCGTAGGTTCTCTATGCCTTACAAAAATATATAGTACTGTTTTTCCTCTCTTTTGGAAAGTAAAATAGTTAGGAAATGCATGCTAATAAACTCTACATTTCATCCTGGGTTCTTGTTGCTGTTGTACCCATGTTTTCCCAAAAATAAGACCTTGTCTTTTTTTTTTTTTTGCCATCAAAAAAAGGCACCAGGCCTTATTTTTGGGGGTGGTGGTGGTCGTCCACTGACTCACCTCACTGTCACTTTTCGGAGGCCTTCAGGAACTTCTTCTGCAGCCGGCTATGCTGGCAAGGCAGGTGTCGAGGCCTGGCTGCAACTGTCCAAAGGTAGGTAGTAATAGGGCAGCTACACACACACCCATCCCCACCCTATCTTAATTTTTACCTGTGCAACCTGGAGTGGGCGGGGTCTTAATTTGGGCTTATTTTGGGGATAGGGCTTATATTGGGCGCACATGTAAAAATCAGGCTAGGACTTACATTCGGGGTAGATTGTATTTTCGGGGAAACACTGTATATACCGTATTTTTCAGAGTATAAGACGCACCTTTTCCCCCCAAAAAAGAGGGTGAAAATCTCGGTGCGTCTTATACTCCGAATGTAGCCCCGCCTGGCCTCACAAACGAAGATTTCAGAGGCTGAAAGAAGCTTCAGGAAAAAAGCCTCTGAAAGGCTTTTATCTAAAATAATATGGCAAGCAACAAAAGAAGAAACAGTAAAGGTACTAACCAAACTATGTTAACGAATCTGGAGAATGACACAATAACCAACAGATCGGAAGAGGTTAATCTACATACCAATACCAAAGAAAGGAGACTGAACAGAGTACAGATAGCACTTCAGAAAAAAAGCCTCCGAAACAGAGCTTCAAAAAAAGAAAAAAAAAAAAGCCTCTGAAAGAAGCTTCAGAAAAAAAGCCTCCAAAAAAAAGGCTTTTTTTCTGAAGCTCTGTTTTGGAGGCTGTCAGAGGCAGAAAAAAAAGCAAGGCACAGAGCTCACAACCAACGAACCTGTTGCTAAAATTCATCTCTGGAAACAGCTGATTGGGGGTATTCTGGGAGCCTGATCCACCCACCAATCAGCTTTTTTCTTATTTTCCTCCCCAAAAACTAAGGTGCGTCTTATACTCTGAAAAATAAGGTAATTTTTGGGTTTACATAGCACCCTTAACTGGCCCATTTTCTGGGGTTTTTTTTACAATACATTGAATCGTAAATTACCTTATGGGCTGAATTCACACCACATGCTAATCTACCAAAGTTTTTCCCTCTTCTCCCTGCAGGGTGTGGATGATGCTTTTTACACATTAGTTCGGGAGATCCGGAAGCACAAAGAGAAGATGAGCAAAAATGGCAAAAAGAAGAAAAAGAAGTCCAAGACGAAATGTATAATCATGTAAAACAAATTCAAAATACTGTCAATCCTTTATCCGTCAAGGGTCCTTCGGTTAAACCCGACTCGTTTTTTCTACCGTTCACACTAAATTATTAGAACAAAACATTTTTAACATCACTTTTTTCCTTCCATCGCGTTGTTTCCTGAACCTGCCAACTATATAGTTCCCCCCACGGCTTATTTTCCTCACGGTGGAAAAATAAGTGCTGAACATTCCGGAAAGCTGGTTCTTCAACTTCTCCACGCTTGTGAAACACAAACCGACAGATCCTCCTGACAGTTCTTCTTCCGAGTCTCTTGGCGCACGCAGAATCTTCTAATTGTCTTCTGGCTTGTTTTCGTTTTGTTTTGCTTTTCCTCCAGAAGGTTTGAGACTTTTCCGCACTTTTGAGGACCAACCTTAGAGCTAAATGGGAGGCTGGAACGTCAACTGTGGTAGCAAATAAACATTGTTTTCCTTCTCTGGGGCTCGGTTTTATGCATGATGTTCCTTGCTCCAGGGGTAGGAAGGAGGAACTGAGGGATTTTATGTCATCCAGGACACCATTTTTACCATTCCAGACAGACTATAATGTTCCACTGAAGTTTAGTGTCAGGGTTCCGACGGATGCCCTAATTAAATCATGAGCCTTGCACGTTCCCAAATGAAGGCAACTTTGATCCCCCGTAATTTATGGCCCCAATCATGACCCTGTTTCCCCCCTCCCCCTAGGGTGTGTCATCAATCACATTCGCCAACGGAGCAATTTCGTGGGTTGTAGAGATCACTCCCCTCCGGCCGCTGAGGGTGACCCTGGGAGACAGCCTTGAGAAAGATAACGTCTGGAATGTGCTTTTGTTTTTGGCTGCCATGCTGCTTTGTCGGTTTCCCATCCCCCTGGCTTATGGCAGCTCGAGAGCAGGCCACGGATGCTTTGCGAATTGACATTTAGATCACCTCAGTCCCATTTGGTGTCCCCTCCCCCACATCTTCTGAAATTGCATCCCTGAAATGTGATAAGACTTCTTTTCCAAAAGAAGAGAATATTTGTAGCTCAGGGTCGAACTGTGGAGTCCTGGGTTCTCTCTTGAGCTTGGTTGTTTACTTGCAGATGTTTAATGACCAATCTAGGTTACATCATCAGTACTACCGGTAGAAAGGAGTGGACTTTACTCTCATTTTAAATGCAATAGCTTGCCTTGTTGGTGAGGGGTGTTTTCTCCTTAATAGTTCTCTGATTAGGCTTACTTCCTCCCTCCAACATTGACAGAACAATTTACTAAATATAAACTTCTCACATACTATATATAAACAGAGAGTGAACCCCACTCCCTTCTAGCACTGATAATATTACCTAGTCTGGTAACAAAATGTCTGCAAGTAAACAACCAAGCTCAGAGCACCAAGGACTCCACGGTCTTTTCACAAACAGAAGTAGAGTTTCCTACCAAAGGTAAGTGTAAAAGAGGCGTGTAAGTCAGAGGCAAGAATTAATCTATCTCAAATCCCAAACTAAACCACTTCCACAGGCGTTGGGTAGAACACACAATGGCATCATGCACTATGCATCATTGCATAATTTGCGCCTTGCGTGAAAGTGTCTTGAGGGTCATGATCTTACAACCCCAACTATAGGTAGTCCTCAATTTACAACTGTAATTGAGCTTGGAATTGCAGGTGCAAAGCACGCTAGTCTTTAAGTGGGTTATCGCATCGTGGTGGTTAAGTGTACTCATTGTACCCAGTGAGTGGGGTGTTGTTTTTTTTTGCCAGAAACGAAGTAAATGGTTTCCGGGTTTTTTTTAAAAAGTAAATCTGGATCACATGACTGGCAAGTGGCCAGATTATGCAGGCTGGTTCCCAAAATGCCCAAAATGGGATCACGTGACTGCAGGGTGGGGGCCAATTGTTAGAACTTCAAATGCTTGTTAAATGATAATATTTGTAGCTCAGGGTTGAATTCTGAGGGTCCTTGGTGCTGTCTGAGATTAGTGATTTTCATGGAGGCATTTCATTACCCAATTAGGTAACATCTTCAGTGCTAGAAGGGAGTGGGGTTTGCTCTTCGTTTATGTACAAGTGATTTTTCCTGTCAGTGTTGGTGGATCTTGTTTTCTTCTGGGGAACAACTTTCCTCTTTCTCCCACCAACACTGGCAGGGCAAGCCAGATAGATAGATAGATAGATAGATGGATGGATGGATGGATGGATGGATGGATGGATGGATGGATGGATGGATAGATAGATGATAGACAGATGATAGATAGATGATAGATAGATAGATGATAGATAGATGGATAGATAGATAAACAGAGAGGAAACCCCACTCCTTTGTAGCACTGATGATGTTACCTAAGTTGGTAATGAAATGTCTGGAAGATAACCATCAAGCCCAGAGAGCACCAAGACCCCACAACTCAAGGAATAACTATCTTCCCTAAGACCATATATACTATATATGTATATATATATACACACATATATATTCCAACCACAATTCTTTCCATCCTTCTAAAATACAAGAAATTGGAAAAGTGCATCTCCTTCCGTAGTCCAGCATCCACCAAGACTGTCATATGGAAGGGGCATAGGGTACAAGGAGAAAGAGCCATGTGATTTACGTTCACACAAGGCACATAACCAGTGATGGGATTCAGCCGGTTTGGGAAAACCGGTTGTTAAATTGCTGGCTGGCCCCTCCCTACCCCTTCCAGGAGTCTCCACGTGCCCCGTTTTGGCTCCCAGGAGGCTGCAGGGAGGCCTACTAGGCCCAAAATGGGGTATGGGGGGCAATGCCCCCACGACAGCCCATTTTGGATCCCAGGGGGCTGCAGGAGGCTGAGTGCTGCCTGTCACACCCCATGGCCACGCCCACCCAGCCAGTCATTAGGGCAGAGAACCAGTTGTTAAAATTATTTGAATCCCACCACTGCACGTAAACCAAACATTGGGAAACAACAGGCGGAGCTTGATCAACGTGAACAATTCGGTGTTTGTGGCTGAATCTCTTGGGCCTATTTTGCTAAATAAAACAGAGAAAAAACTTTGAGGTGTAAGGGTAAGAGTTAAGTTAGGGGTGGGGGAACTGTGGTCCTTTTATGACCTGTGGACTTCAAATCCCAGGATTCCTGAGCCAGCATGGGATTCTGGGATTTGAAGTCCGCAGGTCATCAAAGGGCTATGGTTCTCCACCCCTGTCTTAAAAGCAGTCTCTCTCAACCTTGGCAAGCTTGAAGATGCCTGGACTTCAACTCCCAGAATTCCCCAGCAGGTTGCCAAGGTTGATGGTCCACAATTGGGCATACAGGTTATCTTCCATTTAACCACCTTTCATTGAGTGACCATTTGAAATTACAACAGCCTTGAAAAAAGTTGACATAACCATTTTTCACATGACCGTTGCAGCGTCGTTCCCCCTCCCCCAGTCACATGATCAAAATTTGGACGTTTGGCAACTGGCATATATTTATGACGATTGCCGCCTCTCAGGGTCATGTCATTACCTTCTGCGAAGCAAAGTCAATGGGGAAGCCAGATTCACTTAACAACCACATTATTGTTTTAAGAGCCTTGGTAGTACAGTGGTCTAAGGCACCCTGTTATTAAGCTGGTTATTAAGACCAGCTGCCTGCAATTACTGCAGGTTCGAATCTCGCCAAGGCTCAAGGTTGACTCAGCCTTCCATCTTTTCTAAGGTAGGTAAATTGAGGACCCAGTTGTGGAAGCAATAAGCTGACTTTGTATAAATATACAAAAGGATGAAGGCTATTGCTGAGCACATTGTAAGCCGCCCTGAGTCTCCGGAGAAGGGCGGCATATAAATCAAATTAAAACAAACAAACAAACAAACAAAAAAAAAACAGCGATTCACTTAGCAACTGAGGCAAAAAAGGCGAAAAACTCAATTGCCTCGCTTAGTAACCAAAATTTTGGGCTCGATTATGGTCGTAAGCCGAGGACTACCTGGTCCCTAGGGAGTTGGGCGGCATAGAAATATGATAAATTAAATTAAATTAAATTAAAGATTAATTAAATTTAGGGGGAAATATGAACAGAGCAATCGAATCCCCAGCTGAATGCAGCTTGCAGATATCCAGACTTAGTTAAGAGAACCAAGTATGGTTTAGATATTTATAACAAGATTCTTTTTTTTTTTTCAATTGTGGGAAAGAGGAGGCTGCTAAGATAATGCCAGGCAAGTTTCCCTGTGAGGTTTCACGGATTCCGAATTTTCAGAGAAAATGGATTATTCAGTTATCTCCCAGTTTGGTCTGTCCTTTAAAAATCACGTCTTCCTAAAAGGAACTGATCAGCCCCAAAGATTCTTGATTCTTGCCTCACAATCAGGAGGTTGTGAGTTCGATCCTAGGTAGAGGCAGATTCTCCTGCCTGGACGGGGTTGGACTAGATGACCTGCAAGGTCCCTTCCAACTCTTTGTTAACCTGTTATATTAACATTGTAGTTTTCATCATCCAATACATTTAATCAGACCAGTTAAATGTGGCCGCATTTACAAAATATACTTAGTTTAATTATCTTGATTGGAGTTTTTTATGAGGGTGTTGTGTGAATTCAGCCCTTGAAGCTAGTTTGTTATTCGCAGTAACAGTTGTGAAACCAGAAACAAATTGAGCATCAGTTAAGTGGCACCGGCCCATCTTACTCAATATTTTAGAAGCTGACAAAACACTTAGAAGCCTTTATTTTAAATAAAGATAATGCTGGAGGCTGCTGCTTAGCTTTTGTCAGCTTCCCATTTCTTCATTTTTATATTTTTAGGGAAAAAAAATAAAGGTGAAATCAGGCGACAGAACAAACATGGAGGAATGGAGGTGGTTATAAAGCCATATCTTAATGATCTCAACATTTCTCAAAAGCTCATCCCTGCAGGAATTTTGGCTAAGCCTGTTAGTGGATTACAGAATAACAGAGTTGGAAGGTACCTTGGAGGTCATCTACACCAACCCCAGAATTTCCAGAATTCTGTTTCTTCCTTCCATTCATCCTTCATTAATAAATGAAGGTAAAGGTCTTTTATAGTACAGAAATAACTTTATAGCCTGTGAAACTAAAGATCACTTTTTTCTCACATAACCAATGTACATAACCAGTGTTATGTACAACATACATTGTACATGTTCAGGGGTTTTTCTGCAACCCCTGAATTTCAGCCATATCATATATTTTGGGTGTCAGATTGGATATATTTACCTTCTCATCTCCATCCATAGAATAATGTGAGGCCTCTTCCCTTTTTAAGGTACTAAAACATTTAATAGGGCAGAATGAAGTTGGGCCCAATCTATTATTTCTCCATTAAAAAAAAAAAAAGTTGATCTTTTTATGTTGCAGTCACTACTGTGACCAGGGCCGGATTTTCCTATAGGCTAACTAGGCTTCAGCCTAGGGCCTCAAGATCAAGAGGGGGCCTCAAGATCAAGAGGGGCCTACATTCAAATTGTTAGCAAAATTAAAATTACACTTTCACTATAGGTGAAAGGGCCTCATAAGTGGAATAGCCTAGGGCCTCTTTTCATCTAAATCCGGCCCTGACTGTGACTGACACTTGTCACTTTCAGTTCCAAAGCTTTCTTTTTTTAAAAAAAGTGTCATATTACTATCACTACTGTTAACAGATTAACAGAGGGACCTTGGAGGTCACCTAGTCCAACCCCCCACCCAAGCAGGAGACCCTACACCATTTCTGACAGATGGCAGTCCAGTCTCTTCTTGAAAGCTTCCAATGATGAAGCTCCCACAACTTCCGAAAGCAACTTCTGTTCCATGGGTTGATTGTTCTCACTGTCAGAAAAAATTCTCCTTATTTGTAAAGGTTGAATCTCTCCTTGATCAGTTTCCACCTGTTATTCCTTGTCTGGCCTTCAGATGCTTTGGAGAATAGCTTGACCTCCTCTTCTTTGTGGCAGCCCCTCAAATATTGGAAGACTGCTATCTTGTCTCCCCTGGTCCTTCTCTTCACTAGACTAAGCCATGCCCAGTTCCTGCAACTGTTCTTCATACGTTTTAGCCTCCAGTCCCCTCATCATCTTGGTTGCTCTTCTCTGCAGTCTCAACATCTTTTTTATAGTGTGGTGACCAAAACTGGATGCAGTATTCTAGGTGTGGTCTTACTGGTGAAACCCTTTTCATTAGCTCAATCTGTTTTTTATTCCTGTTCGCATCATTTTGATCTCTGGCCCGAGAAGATGGCCAATGCCTGAGTTTCAAAGCCAATTTTAAGATTAATGGTTGGCTAATTTATCGATGTGCTCAAAGTGATTTATTTATATGGATGTCCTTTACCTGCTCCAAAACACTTCAGAATTGACTCTGAAGCATCATGCAGACCTATCGCTTATGATTTCTTGTATTGTTGAGGACAGGTGTTTTGGGAATCCCTCCGTCTGACACCTGTGCTGTGGGAATGAGGTCAGCCTAAAGCTAGTTCAGATAAGGCGGGTGTGGCCTTCTACAGGAGCTGGGTGGAAATAACCTGGTTATGAACCGGTTCTGGCAGGCAGATGTTTTGATTAGTCAGCTATGCAAAGTTGCACGTAAGGGTAAAATAAGATTCTCACAGATCTGACTGCGTCCAGGTGTTGTATTCTTATTTGCCGGGCAACAAGATTATTCCAGTTTATGCAACATCTTCCTGGCCTTAATGCAACCAGCGAGATGAATTCTGGGAATTCTGGTGCCTCAATCCATTTAAACTGCTGTTTCTTAAAATGTTGGAAGTGCAGGAGCCTGAGTGGCGTAGGAGGCTAATGCCTCCTACTAAGGCAGCATTTAACATCCAGCTGCCTGCAATTACTGCGAGTTCAATTCTCACCAGGCTCAAGGTCGACTCAGCCTTCCATCCTTTCTAAGGTGGGTAAATTGAGGACCTGGTTTGTGGGGGCAATAAGCTGACTTTGTATAAAATATACAAAAATATGAAGGCTATTGCTTAACGCATTGTAAGCCGCCCTGAGTCTCCGGAGAAGGGCGGCATATAAAAATAAAATAATAATAAAAAAACCCCTTATTGGTTAAATGCATGTAAAGTCACTGTAACAAAAAATACGAATGTCTTTGTTTTCCAGGTAGTTGATATGAATGCCTTATGCTTTATTTTAACCCCACCTTAAAAGTAAAGGTAAAAGTTCCCCTCGCACATATGTACTAGTCGTACCCAACTCTAGGGGGCGGTGCTCATCTCCAAAGCCGAAGAGCCAGCGCTATCTGAAGATGTCTCCGTGGTCATGTGGCCGGCATGACTAAACACCAAAGGCGCACGGAATGCTGTTCCCTTCCCACCAAAAGTGGTCCCTATTTTTCTACTTGCATTTTTTTTTGTGCTTTCAAACTGCTAGGTTGGCAGAAGCTGGGACAAGTAACGGGAGCTCACCCCATTACGCGGCACTAGGGATTCGAACCGCTGAACTGCCGACCTTTTGATCGACAAGCTCAGCGTCTTAGCCACTGAGCCACCACGTCTTTAAAAGTACCTTAAAAGTACTCTTATGTTTAATGCAGGAACTCCCACTTAAAAGTATCCCTGAATTAAACAGATTCTGAATCTTTTCTATTTTGGCCCTTATTCTCAATGGAGCACCAATTCTATGTGTCAGGTTTGCATTAGCAAGAGACCCAGTATCCAAATGCAGTTTGTACTTTAACGTGTGCCTAGTTTTAGGCTAGATAGGCCAGAAGATCCTGAAGGGGGGAAAATGTAAAAATGTAAAAAAATTTCCCCCTATGCATCTCTTTTATTGACACCTATATCCAAATTCTATTTCCTGGTCACAAGATCCATGTCTGCACAGAAGACCCTGGATTTCCCAGTGCTATGGGTGGGATTCAGCCGGTTCGGACCAGTTCGCACGAACCGGTTATGATTTTGCGCAGTTCAGAGAACTGGTAAAATTTATCCCTGGCTGGACCCACCCACCCCGCTCCGCTCCGCCCCACCCCACCCTATATATTATCTTTCGTTCACCATGGGATCCAGCTAATCTCCGTGCCTCACCTCCACGCCTCGCCCGCTCTGCTCACCAAAGGTAAGCATGCCACCCGCTCGCCCTTCGCCTTGGGTCAGGGCCCAGGGACACGCCATTCCCCAGCTCCAGCCTTGCCCCCGAGTCTCCGCCTACTCACCGCCTGCCTCGGCCAGGTTGGAGACTGCGTCATTCCCTGGATCCAGCCTTGCCCCAAGCCTCTGCCCGCATGCCGCTGACTCCCTCTCGCCTCAAACTACCAGACGGTTCTTCTTAGCTGGCTGCAGTGGAGATCATGCAGCTGTCCCTTGCCGAGGCTCGGTTGCTCGCAGAGACATCCATGTGGTCTCCGGGTCAGCAGTTGCTTCTCTCCGCTACTGCTCTTGCTGGGAGAGAGAGTCTATGTGCAATTTAGCAGCTGTGAGCCACCTCTAAGTCCCATCCGGAAAGTGCGCAGCACAGAGAAGCAGCAGCCATGTTGAATGCTGTTTCTCTGTCCCACAGCGCTTTCCGGATGGGACTTAAGAGGAAAATGGTGGCTCACAGCTGCTAAATTGCACAAGAGCAAGAGCAGCAGCGGAGAGAAGCAGCTGCTGCCCCGGAGAGCAGAGATGGAGTGGAGCGGGCCCCAAAAGCCTACTCAGTTGACCCTCGCCGCAAGGCGGAAGCCGTGCATGCGTGGAAGCCACGCACGCATGCACACACACTCACATTTTCAGTGAACCAGTTGTTCAAAAATTTGAATTTCACCACCTCCTTCATCCAATTACACCCAAAAGCTGGCATGGAAGATACGTTGTCTGTGATGTTGGGAGAATTAGCTTCCGTGAAGACTATTAGTTTTCCAGTCTTAAATCTAGTTTTACTGTAAATCTATACTTTTAACAATTTTAAATCTTATCTCAATTAATAGCCATCACCCACCCTGATGATAGCAGATGCCTCTCTGGCTTTGCTTTCAAACCCTGATCTCTGCAGAACGAACGAACAAATACATCATTCAAACAGATTTTATTATTACCATCACAGGCCGATCACCCACCATTTAGCCCCTGGGCTACACACGCCTTGGCAGACTTTACAACTGGTTGGTGCTCAACTGTCCTCGTAGTATCGTTGTTTCAGAGCTCGGTATTTTCGGAGGAAGTACAAGGCTTCCAGTTCTTTGATGACAAATTTGCCTCTGGCAATCAGTTTTTTGATTTCTTCTGGATCCTTCACTTCCTTATTTTTCAGGAAGGCTGCCTTGAGTCGGGTTCGAAAATAGTCGGCCCCTTTGGGGTACTCCTTTCCCAGATACAGAAGCTTCAAAACACAAGAAAAGGTTTTGCTTTACACATTCAACAATTCATAGAAATTCTTATTTAGGTCCAGTTCCTCTGCCTGTCCTAACCAGCTGTCCTTCAAATGGCTGGACATAAACTCCCATCTGGCTGGGGATTACCGGTCCAACATTTTCGGAGGTTCACCCACTGGGAGAAGGCGGAGTTACTCCTCAGAACTTACGTTTTTGTACAGATTCAGTACTTCGTATCTGAGAGGGTTGGCCATGTTGTCAGTTGAGACAGACATCCGTTTTATTCATGAGGACTGGCATATTTACCTGAAGAACAATCAGTTTAAAAATGAGGTGCATGATGAAATCCGAACAGCTCATTTTATTACAGATAGTCCTCGACTTATGACCAGGCACTGAGGCCCAATATTTCCATCACTAAGCAGGAATAGTTGTTAAGTAAATTTGGTCCTTTTTATGACCTTTCTTGCCTCAGTTGTTAAGTGAACTACGGCAGTTATTAAGTCAGCAATACGGTTGTTAAGTGAATCAGTCTCCCCACATTGACTTCGCTTGTCAAGGTCGCAAAAGGTGATCACAAGAACCTGGGACCAGGGGTGACTTCTACTTACCTTTACTACCGGTTCGCATCGCACACGCACTCATCTGAGCATGCGCAGATCACCTATGATGACGTCTGGGTCAGTGGGTGGAGCCTCCCGCTGGTTTTACTACCGGTTCTTGCGAACCGGTCTGAACCGGGGGCAACCCGCCACTGCCTGGGACACTGCAACCGTCATGAATATGAATCAGTTGCCACGTATCTGAATTTTGATCACACGACCATAGGGATGTCATGTGAAAACCTATCATAAATCACTTTTTTCAGTGCCGTTGTAACTTGGATCACTAAATGAATGGTTGTAAATCAAGGACTCTCTCCAATTCCTCCTGAACACAATCTCTCAACAGGTGGATTTCCACATACTCCTTTGATGTTCCTTTTACATAGATTCAGAAAAAACATATTCTGCTAACAATTGCTAGGTATCCTGGCCATTCCGACACTGCTTATCTCCAGTGGCTGCTTAAGGAAGAACAGTCCATAACTGCAGCGCAGATGGCTAGATTCTGCACAGCAGCACTGGGGATTCGTGGCAAACACGTGTCTAATCCACCATATATTGTTGCTAGTTGTGAAGTTGTGTCCGGCCCATTGCGACCCCATGGACAACCTTCCTCCAGGCCTTCCTGTCCTCTACCATCCTCCTAATCCACCATAGTTATGTTATATAACAAATGTGGCAAACCCTTTGCACTGCTTTTTCCTTTACCTTTTAATATTAATTTAATAGGGGGGCCTGGTGGCGCAGCTGGCTAATAGCCTGTTATTAACATTCAGCTGCCTGCAATTACTGCAAGTTCGAATCTCGCCAAGGCTCAAGTTTGACTCAGCCTTCCATCCTTTCTAAGGTAGGTAAAATGAGGACCCAGTTTGTGGGGGCAATAAGCTGACTTTGTATAAATATACAAAAGGATGAAGGCTATTGCTTAGCGCATTGTAAGCCGCCTAGAGTCTCCGGAGAAGGGCGGCATATAAATAAAAAAAAAATTTAAAAAAAAAATTAAACTGACAATGGGCCACACAGCTTATGGATTGTAATTTTAGTATAGTTGTATAATGTATAATTAACAGACTGGATTTTATCATAGATTTTAGTATTTAGGTATTTATTATTTTATACCGGTAATAGAATTTTTAATTGTATACTTACTGAGTGTTTTTATTTCTTCTGGTCTCTGGTCTATGACTATCATAAATTAAATTGATTGAACGGATGGATTTGAAAACTGGATTAGCTGATATGGGAAGAAAAGAACCGATATTCCAGCCTCATGAAACATATATTTACAGACCAATGATGATAATACTTTAAGGCTTGAGACGTGACTCCAACTGGGAATTTCCAAATAGTTTCCAATACATAGAATATAGAATAATAGGAAGCAGGGGTGAAATCCAGCAGGTTCTGACAGGTCCTGGACAACCGGTAGCGGAAATTTTGAGCAGTTCGGAGAACCGGCAAATACCACCTCTGGCTGGTCCCAGAGTGGGGAGGGAGTGGAGATTTTGCAGTATCCTCTCCCCAGGAATGGGGTGGGAATGGGGATTTTGCAGTATCGTTCCCCTTCTTCACCCACCAAGCCATACCATGCCCACCAAGCCACGCCCACAGCACCATTAGTAAAAAAAAATTGGATTTTACCACTGGTTGGAAGGGACTTCTAGTCCGACTCCCTGATCAAGCATGAGACCTAATATCAGGAATGGTAAACCTTTTCGGCATCGAGTGCCCAAACCAGAAGGCGCGTGGATGTACACACATGCACCGGAACGCTGGAGCACCCGTAGACCAACTGGCCGGTGCAGCATGCCTGATTTTTGGTCATTTTTGGGCCATTTTTTGGGCTGTTTTCAGGCCATTTACCAGCACTCCAGTGCCCGTGACGACCAGCTGGCTGATGTGTATGTGCACGCCGGAAACCAGAAGTGCAGCTGGCGATGGCACGCATGCCCACGGAGAGGGCTCTGCATGCCACCTCTGCCACACGTGCCATAGGTTCACCATCACAGCCTTATGCTATTTCAGGAGACATGGTTGCCCAGTCTCTTCTTGAAAAGCTCCAGTGATGGAAATAAAAGAAAGGAGTCAAGATCCACATATTAAAAGGATCCTCTTAGTCAAGAATGCAGGACTCTGCAAAGAAAAGCAACCAAGGAGGAAGGAAAAAATAATTGTCCGAAAAGTCATAAAAAGTTACAGGAAAAAGTTATACACCCTAACTCAGTCCAGAAGAGGCTGGACTGAGAGCAGTCAAACCCAGGTTCAAGTCCCACCACAATCACAGAAGCTCCCCAGGGAGGACTTTGACCCATTCCTAAGATTCCCTAACCAACCTCACAGGGTTGTTGTAGGGAAAAAGGAGTGCCCCGCTTCCTGTCGAGCTCCTGCATACATACACCACCGAATCCAGCTCATTTCTAGGGTTTTAATCAGAGATTTCCTATGCAGCAGTCAGCCTGGGTCTGGCTTGTGGATGATGGGAGTTGTAGTACTCCAACATATCAAGTGGGTCGAAGGCTACAGCTGCAAGCTGCCCAACCAATAAACCGAGTCCCCGGAGTCTGGGAGGCTCCCAACCCGTTGAGAATGTCATTCACAATTTGCACTAATTTTACGCTAAAATTCACTACCTGCTGCAGTCCATAAACTTCTTCCCAACAGCTGATTTGCAGATTCTAAGGCAGGGCGTCCGGCGGCTACTGCGCCTGCGCACGAGCTCGAGGGGCGGAGCCAGGCGACTCTTCCAAACGTCCTGAGTGGCATTGCCTAAGCAGGGATAGATAGAGATACGAAAGTTGAAGAGGAGTGCCTCTGCTCTCAGAGAGAGAGAGAGAGTCCCGTTTAGCTAGATGGAATTTTTAAATCGCTTCGCGATCAGCAAGAATTGGCGGCTCCATTCACACAATAGGCAAAAACTTGGTTACTTTTAAAGGGTGCTCGTTTTTTTCCACCCACCCTCTACGATTCCAAGTTAGCATGTCGCATGTAAAAATATATGAAATATATCATATATCGTATACCACCCATCTTATTTGCAAAGTTTCTAGATCAATGATTCTCAATCTCAGCAGCTTTTCAGATGTTTGGACTTCAACTCCCAGAATTCCCCAGCCAGCCCATGTCCAACACCCCTTAACGTTGTTGAGGTTGAGAGACTCTGCTAGAGATTCGACAAGCTCAGCGTCTTAGCCACTGAGCCACCTAGTCAGGCCACCGGTTGTAAGTCGAGTACTTACCTGCATTGTCATGTTATATATATATCTATGAACAGAACCTTGCAAATCTGAAAATACGTTGAACAAGAATAACGGAATAGAAAAGAGCAGAGTTTGGAAGGGGCCTTAGAGGTCTTCTAGTCCAGCCCCCAGTTCAAGCAGGAGACTCTAAAGCAGGGGTCTCCAAACTTGGCCGCTTTAAGACTTGTGGACTTCAACTCCCAGAATTCCTCAGCCAGCTTTGCTGGCTGAGGAATTCTGGGAGTTGAAGTCCACAAGTCTTAAAGCGGCCAAGGTTGGAGACCCCTGCTATAGATTGAGAATATGGGTTAATTTTATTGCATGTCTGCATTTGGGTTTAAATCCCTTCCTCTCGAGCCTGTCCTAGGAAAAGGACCACTTGGCCTACTTTGCAAGGTTGTGGTTCTCCTTTCTTCAAATGACAATCGCAAAAAATCCCTCTGCAATATATGAATGTTTCATATCATTGTATTTTTCTCTCGGATCCCAACAGGAAAATCACACTTTCCCCATTTCTTGGTGTGAAAGCCAATTTTTCTAGGAAAATCACACTTTCCACATCTCTTCTGCACACACACACACACAAAATGCAACAATTTTTTTTCCTGGTCTTTTCACATTAATTTTCCTGTTTTTCCCTCCTCTTCTACGTTTGTACCACTCCGGCGTAAAAAAGTTCTGCAGAATTTTCTTTAATCCCAGTCACGGTTGGTTGGCCTTAATCAAATTAGGATCTAATGAATGCAATAAACACATTGCAATAAACACAAATGCAATAAGCACATTGCAAATACCCAGAGAGTCTCTGCGAACCTCGGACGAAATAGCAATTGCCAAATCACCGAAATCTTTGCGGGGAAAAATAACAGATTTTCTGCAAGTAAAATCCTAATGCGCCTGCGCAGACGTACCTTCTAATACCAACGATGGGACTTAATTTATTAATTCATGGGTGGGAAATCATAGAGGAAGAACAAAATGAAAGCTGCCACCCTGTTATCACTTCCGAATTCGATTCAACGTACGTATTGGCAAAACTTCCATCATTGGCATGGAGTGACCCCTCCCTCAAAAAAAAAAACCCCAAACCGATCCTTACTCCTTTTCCTTCCGAAGTGCCACGCATCCCGATTGTCCTCTTTCTGTATATTAGACGCGTAAGTCTAATATAGACTCCGCAAAGTTCACTTGGGAACCGGAAGTGTTGTCCCACACTAGCTTTTCTATACCTCTTGGATGAATTCATTCCCCTTTGCCGGGAGCGTCAAGGGGCGGGGACTCTCGGAGCGCGGCGTGGAGGGGCGGGACTGGTTGCCGCAGAAACGGAGGGGGCGGAGTCGTCAACAACTTTTCAGCCTGGTTGTTGGGGGTGCAGCTGAAAAATGGTGAGTGACGCCCTTTCCCCAAACCTGAGGGGGGGGGCTTATTTGCATGTCTATATGCATATGCAAATCACCCTCCTGCATCTCGCTTGCTAACGCTTTGCAAAGGGAATGAAACACGCAAGTGGGTCAATGTGTTGTGTGAACGCAGCCACTCACTGCGGTTGGTGGATCTGGCACCCATTGAGGCTATAAGCTGCATAATAGTAACAGTAACAGAGTTGGAAGGGACCTTAGAGGTCATCTAGGCCAACCCACTGTTCGCAGCATGAGAGCTGTACTAGAGATTTGAACTGCTGACGTTTCTGAGCAACAAACTCAGTGTCTTAGCCACTGAGCCACCTAGTCAGGGATTTTAAAAAAAATAATAATAATTGAGATTTCTTTTTTCCATCTGCCTCTTTTCCTAAAAAAATATTATATTTCTACTTGGAGATGTTAAAATGGAGGTGAGAATGACGCCTTTGGGTCAAACCCCAATATAAAGTTTCATATCCTGTTAAACCTGTGGTGGCTTTATTTATTTATTTATTTATTTATTTATTGGTTCGATTTATATGCCGCCCTTCTCTGGAGACTCAGAGCAGCTTACAATGCGTTAAGCGGCTTACAATGCGTCATACTTTTGTATATACCTGCTTAGTAGGGCTTTTGACTTTATACAAAGTCAGCTTATTGCCCCCACAATCCGGGTCCTCATTTTACCTACCTCGGAAGGATGGAAGGCTGAGTCAACCTTGAGCCTGGGGAGATTCGAACTTGCAGTAATTGCAGGCAGCTGGTGCTACTTAACAGCACTTTAGTCTGCTGCACCACCAAGGCTCTTCATACTTTACTGTGGTGGCTTTACCTCTCTTTATTTATTTATTTATTTATTGGATTTATATACCGCCCTACTCCCGAAGGACTCAGGGCAGTGAACAGCCACAGAATAAAACACATAAATACAAAAATTTAAAATAGAATAAAAATGAATTAAATAATTTGGCTGAGACAAATTTAAAATACCCAATAATTTAAAAACGTTTCTTTCACCTGTGGAATATCCACCTGGGCTCTTTCTCCTTTCTCCTTCCCCGCAAGTGAGTTCTGCCTTCATAATACAAAGGGTCCTCGATTTATAACCATAATTGGGACCTGAATTTCTGTTGTTAGGCAAGGCGGTTGTTAAGTGAGTCACACCCCATTTTACAATCTTTTTGCTTGGGATTATAATAGCAATAGCACTTAGACTTATATTCTGCTTTACAGCTCTCTCTAAGCGGTTTACAGAGTCAGCCTCTTGCCCCCAACAATCTGAGTCCTCATTTTACCCACCTCGGAAGGCTGGAAGGCTGAGTCAACCTTGAGCCTAGTGAGATTTGAACTGCCAAATTGCAGGCAGCCGGCAGTCAGCAGAAGTAGCCTGCAGTACTGCACTCTAACCACTGCGCCACCACGGCTCATCATACATTACATGGTTATTAAGAGTCACCACAGGACGGCGCCTGATTTTACAATCCTTTTTTTGTGGCAGTCATAAAATGAACCCATTTTATTCAATCAGTGGGTCGTTGGATTTTTTTGCCAAAAACTAGAAGTAGATGCCAGAATCAGGCAAAAAAACACTGAAAATCACAGTCACATGACTGTGCGAGGGTATGACTGTTGGATCTCCAGAACCGAGTCATAGATAGCTCTGTTGTAATTTCAAACAATTGCTGGTTGTTAAGTGAGGACTAGCTGCAATCCAAGACAGGCCATTTTGTGAAGCATCAGAAGAAGTTTGAGAATTTCAGTGCTCCATTTTGTGGGTTCAATTTGTTGCTAACATGGGAGACCAACTAGTGTTTGTGTGAACACAGATATTTTGGCTGACAGTAAGATAGAATTCAGGCTACATCCCCCCCCCTCCGCCTTGACAATTATATTGTGTTTTTCTGATTTTCTCTGTTCTTTCTTTTCTCTCCTCTCTGCATTTAGGGTCCCAAAAAGAAAAAGGTATGTAGGTAGACAGCTAAATTAGTCTTAGAGGCATTCATACTTATCAATAGCTCGTGTATTTAACCTTGATATAGATTTATAACTTCAAATGATGGTCCACTTTGGTTTAAAAGCAGGTTAGTTCACACAGTCCGTTTCAATCCGCTGGGCAGTGTTTCCCAACCTTAGCAAATTTAAGATGTGTGAATTTAACTCCCAGAATTCCCCAGCCAGCATTATAGTTATTTTTTTAATATACATGGGATTTAAACAGGGGTGAAATGCTCCCGGTTTGGACCGGATCGCCCGATCTGGTAGCGATGGCGGCGGGTGGTTCGGAGAACTGGTAGCAAAAATCCCTGCCCCCCCCCCATGCCCAGCTGAGCCGCACGATCATCAGAGGCTTTTTTTTTTTTTACTTTTAAAAGCATTTTTTCTACAACCTCTTCCGACGAAAAAATGCTTTTAAAAATAAAATTTAAAAAAAGCCTCTGATGATCTCGTGGCTCAGCTGGGATCGTCAGAGGCTTTTCAAAGCATTTTTTTCTGCAACCTCTTGGCCGAAGAGGTGGTTAAAAAAATGCTTTGAAAAGTCTCTGACGATCCCAGCTGACCTGCCTGATCGTCAGAGAGGCATTTTTTTAAAAGCCTCTCTGATGATCCCAGCTGAGTTGCCTGATGGGCAGAGGCTTTTCAAAGCATTGGAAAAAAATGCTTTGAAAAGTTTAAAAAAAAAAAGTTGGCCACCCCCACCCAGTCACATTAACACCCCCCCCCCGCCAAGCCACGCCCACAGAACCGGTAGTAACAAATTTTACATTTTCACCCCTGGATTTAAGTGCAGGAATGATTAACAAGTTGACAGCCTCCTCAAACAGACCTAAATTGTTGACATCCCTTGCCAGCACCAGATACTGCTAAACTACAGTTCTCAATCGCCCTAGCCAGCATAGCCAATGGTGCAACATTGGAAATTATAGTGCGTCAACACCTGGAGCACCTTAAATACCTCTATGGTTAGACTTTCTACCTTCTGTACCCACAAGGGTTGTGGAATTGACACACCTCCTTGATCACGTGTGATTTCTGAGGTGCTTGAAATGCTATTGATTTGATTTTTTTTACTTCAGAGGAAGCATATCTAGGTAGCC